ATTCTGCCGACTAAGTCCTCCTCCTGGTAGTTCGCCACCCGCAGTGGGTTGGTTAATAATGCAGTGTCGAGCACTATATGATCCAACCTTTGTTGGTGGCTTAGGGTCCGTCCCATGGCAACAGGCAACAGCGCGAACGATTCGGCCGAGGCTCATGTGGAATTTCGGCCGGATTTTCCATAAAAGCTTGCGAGCAGCGAGAGCTTCCCGAGCTAGTCCTTGGATACTCTGCAGCTGGCACGAGTTCAAGGATGATTAGCTGCTAGCCCCAAACCCTAGGCCCTAACATGAGCCCACAGTGCAACATCCCCAGAACATGTTTGACGGGACTCCCAGGAGAGAGCAATGATACAAGTCTTTGAAGAATTCAGCAGCTTCCAGCTCACGGGCACTCAGCACAGGCCCGGCATCAGCAAAAGTATTTCGAAGTTGGTCCAGGCCAACGAAGACGCCAGCTCGTAGCAAATCATGCTGGCTGTTCGTGACAGAAGCCACAGCCCAACATATCCCAGCCAGCCACCGCACCAGGATTATGGACTCCTGAGCTAGCGAGGCGTTTTGGGTTTAGGGTCTGGGGTTTAGGGGCTTAAGTCCCAACACTTGCATGTACAGAATTTGTCACATAGTTAATCTAGCCACAGCCCCACTCAGGTGCTTCTGTGCCAGTGACGGGTACTGGCCAGTAGCCCGATTGGCTTTGATAGCCTCCAAATTGAACGGCGGAGCCCTGCAGCCTTAGCTACAGCCCACCGTCCCAGTCTACTGGGCAGTAAGATTTGCAGCATATGCTGAATGTCCTGCATGCCAGGATTCGTTGCGGAACAAAAGAAAAATATACTTATGGATCCCTATAGCCCGTGCACGCGAACCTCCTATATAGCTATTATGTAGGTAGCCTATATATATATATATACATATATATCTCGATCTGTGGCAAGTAGCGGACCTTCTCTGCTTTGCATGCCGCAGCAAAGTCGGCATAGGCATTGCTCAGTCGTTCCTGTTGATCATCTCCTGTATTCTTGGGGGAAGCGGGCACCAAGGAGAGATTCGGGCACCCACAAAGTCTTTCTAACGATCCAGTCCTGGCCAGTGTGAAGCATCATGAGTGAGTTCAAGCAATGCCTGTTCCAGCAACATATGCAAGCCAGGCTAGGACGTACTTTGATTTGTCCGGCTATGGGCTGCCGAGCGGCAGATGCTGCAGCATCCGGCGCCAGTGCCAGGTCCACCACATGCAAGTAGTCCGGCCACACACGCTTGATACTCATCCCAGGGCAGAGTAGCCACGCAGACCTTGAGATGGTCTGCATGAACTCCCCATCTGTAGTGAGCCTTAGCACAGGGACCGATTTGGATCCGTTAGTTTGGGCTTTTTTAGAGGTTTTAGGGTTTAGGCTTGTCTTCTTCACAGACAAAGTCTATCACATCGATGATATGTGCAATGGCGCAACGTGGTTCGGTGTAGAGCATTGCAGCCAGTGTAGGTATACAGCATTCCGGAGTTTGCATCCGAAGAGGCCTTCAGGGGTCAGGACTTTCCGTTTCAACAGCAGCTGGCTTGCACATACATACACTTTGATCAGGCCCCCACCTTACAGTAAGGGCATACAGTCTTCGACACCCACGACTTGGACAGCCCGTAGACCTTTTTTATAAAGGCTTGGTCGCCTCTCATGCCAACCCAAATGGCCCTGTAGCCACCCATGATGTTGCGATACGGCGGTGTGTGAGGGTGTCCGAACCAATCATGGGTGAAAAGCTCGCCCTGCTGGAGTTGTTGGAGGGACCAGACGAGCACCATGTCCAATTGGCCTTGTGTGTATTTAGATGCCTGCTGGTTGTCAAGGCAGTACACGGGGAACAGCTTGTCTAGCGTGGCTCCGGACACCAAAGCACTTTGAAAGCAGCAAATCAAAAATGTCCTTCGCCGATGAGAGTCGGCATCATCTCCGTAAAATTCAAGAGGGATGCATCTCTCCAAGTCGGTGTCCTTAATTGGTTCCCCCATGTGTTTGTAAAAAAGTGTGGCCTCGATCCGAAGCTTTGAATGCAGACTAGGGACGGACAGATTTGCGAGGAGCGGGTGCTGCTGAAACCACCTCAGCTGACAACCGATCATCACATCGATCATTGTCAATAGAAGTTTCCCGATCGAGCTGCTCGGTGTGCTGAATGTTTTTCCAGTAGCGGAGACAATCCTTGGTCGGGGCTTCCCGGGTAGCCTACACTCCCAGGGTCGACTGCCCTTTGCCGCGCTCAGCTGGATCTGCTGCTGTCCGAGGCACACCGTCTTTTCCAAGGAATAATCGCTTGAACTCATCCATGGAATAGTTGTAGACGGACCGGAGCCTCGGGATGCTCGACAGGGGATCAACACACCAGCCCATGCAACAGGATGCAGTCAGCATGAGCATGAGCTTCAGCCCCCAGCGTATCATGCGGCAGCATCACATGCCAGGTGGATTCATACACCTGGTCCTTCTTCGGCTTCTTCTTGTTGAGAAGAAGAACTTTGACCCTCGGCTGGAACACTATGATAAAACCCTGCAGCCTGCAGCAGAGCCTCTACATGAAGCATGTGAAGCCCACATTGAATGCCAAGACACTCGGTAGGCTTTGGAAGGATTTGTCGCCACGGCTGCCGGTTCACCCAACTGATAAAATTCCTGTAGCAGTTTTTATCAGTAGAATAGCCGGCGAGATCTTGCAGGCTAGGCCTCAGCTAGCAATGGAACAGAACACCCTAATATTAGAGGATTTCGGGTCTGAAGTTCTGCAATGCAAGCCAGGGTTCGGCAGCCAAAGTGAGGGGATCCGACTTGAGATCGCGTCGAGCAGCTGCTTGATTTTGATTACAGATAGCTGCTTGGACAGATCCAACACGTCAAGCAGCAAATCCATGCCTGCTGCCCGCATTTCTGTTGAGACCCCATATGATTATGATCGCAAAACCCGCGATGTCTTACCGTCCTGTGTCGACTCCAGCCAAGGCCCAGCGCAATGATATAATATCGGCCCCGGGGCTGCAATAAGGATCCTGGGAGAAAGTTTTTTTCCGGGGTTTAGGGTTTGGGGTCCCTGGGTTTAGCTTGCGGGATTAGGGTTACCCAAGGCCAGAGGATCCTGGGAGAATGTTTGTTTTTTTTTCCCGGAGGGTTTGGGGTACTAGGTTGCGGGATTGGTTTACGGTTACCCAAGGCCAGAGGATCCTGGGAGAATGTTTGTTTTTTTTTCCCGGGGTTTAAAGGGTTTGGGGTTTAGG